AGTTAAGTGTATGAAGCTGGGGTTGGCTCCGATTCTTAATAATTATAATTAGTACGTACTGAGTACTTGTCAGCTTGGAGGCTTTGTGCTAGGTACCCTCTCACTGTTTTGATGTTTCTTGAATAGTCCACACAGAAGCCTGGCTTTACAAGTAAGGTCGGGGAGTAGACAATGAAAACACAGATGCCGTAAGTTGTGTACTAGACTCATAGATCAACCTGTAGTGGGAGTCAGGGATCTTTTGTTGCTGAGACAAAATACCTGGCACTCAAAGATAAGGAAGCAAAGGTTTATTTATCTCACAGTTTGTGGAGATTTCAGTCGATAATCAGCTGGCTCCAAGGCAGGGTGGCATGGCACTGGGGAAATACTTTAAGGTGGCAGAAGACAGGAAATGCAACAAGAGCAAAAGCCAGTAGTTGGTGGGGGGAGCCTTTTATTTTTCATTGTATTGTACAGGCCACCCAACCTTGGGTGGGTGTAGCACTCACACCTTTTCTGTGCCCTCCTGTTGCACAGGCTCAGGATGTTACAAATTCAAAACCCTGGCCCCCTGCTGAGTCACTTAGTTAACCTTCTAAATTTCTCAAGTTGACAGTGAATGACATCCTAGAGTGTAAGTGCAGGTCCTTTACACACTAGGATGTAGAACTGCTGAGCTACATAGTTAAGCTTCTAGACTTTTCAAGTTGCACAATGTGTCAATCATAACAATAGGCAATGAAAATGTAGATTCCGTAGGCTGCGTTCTACACTCATAGATCAGCATCCTGTAGTGGGATACTCAGATCTAGTGTTTTAATAAGCACCATGGGTCAACACATACCCTTAAAATTCAAGGGCCACAGTGTTTTAGTATACATATGACTCAAGAGTAATCCACCTTTCTTTCCATTCTTCAGATTTGTGTGCTTAAATGCTTATGGCAGATAAATATCTATGAACTGTGAGACAAGGAGTACCTAAGGACCTCCCACTCAGCCTTACCTCTTAAAAGTGCACAGTACCTCCCAGCACCACTGATAGGATTATTTCCAGAGGATGAAAAATACTTCCAAAAGATGAGGGTATAAAACAAAAGAGGCCTTTATTCTGGGGAGAGAGGACTGGCGCGCTGGCCACTGGAATCTGGCGATCTCTCTCACTCGGACACGTGGCATGGGGGAATATAAGTAGCCTAAGCTTAGGGCAGTGCCCTAAGGCCATTAGAGATACACAGGTATTTCATTGGCACACGTTTGGTGCCAGGGGCAGGTTCCGAAGGGTGGGGGGTATAGGGTTACAGGTAAATCTCTAGGGGTGGGGGAGGCAGGGGCTCCCTAATTCCCGCTGAGGCCTTTTCTGGCTACAGTGTCCAGTCTGGGCTAGCAACCCTTTCAACCACCACACTGAGGACCAGGCCTTAACATATGGGCCTTTCTGGGGGCACCCATCCAAACCATAGCAGTCACTTTCTAGAATGCCTAGTTCTTAACATTTTCTAGGCTTTGACCATGATCTTCTCCTTCTGTGAATGCCCAGGGCTGATAACTGTTTCCATGGTTATAGGACTGGACTGCAACAGGTTGTGATCTCAGTGACCCAAGAGGGCTCTGGAGGGGAGACTTCATTTCTGACTCTGTAGTTGAATCAACACAAGAGGCCTGGGGAGACTATTACTCACCTCTGAATGTTAGATATCCTTGAGCCCCACTGCATTCTTCTTCCAAGAGCAGAATAATGAGAATAAATGAGATGAAGATCATTCAACTCTTTACTGGGCCCCACACAGAGCTTTCAAATATGTGATTATTTCTAGCAACCATAGTAGGCTTTGTTGCATTTCTTTATCAACCTGAGAAAGACCTGAGATGATTTCCTAGTGAAGAATTTGTCTACAGGTCTACTAAGCCTTGACACAGCCTTCACTATAATTCTGACCTTGCCCTCTATTTTATTGTTGGTAGGTTTCTTCTTCTAAACAGAAAATGTCCTCTAGCTTTCTGAATGTTTATTTATTCTTTAGTGGTAATTTATGTGGTAGTAATACTGATTCAGTAATGGACTCTGTGGGGAGTAACCACCCTTTGGAAGAGAAGGAGGGCAGGTAGATCCTGTCCTTGAACTTGCTAGTGGGTGCTGGGGATGGGCGTGGAGATGGTGGGCTGCAATGGCAGCCGCATGAGATGAAAGCGTGAACTCTCAGGAGCTGGAAGCAGGCAGGTGGGGCTGGTGGGCATTTGTGGGAGTGGAGTGAGATAGGGAAGACAACCAAAGAGTGACCGAATGAGCGTAGAACTCCATGCTCTTCCTTTAGGGTGACCTTTCCTTCCCCAGGAAGACTGTTGTTTTCTCTTCCCATTCTCAGTGAATACATCTATGTTGTGGCTAATAATCTCCTGCTCTGAGGAATCCCTTATCAGTGGAAAGAAAGGATATATTTAGCTTCAGTGTTCTCTCATATTGAAGCTGGAAATTCAGCATGAATTCCAGACGTCATAGCTCATATGTTCTGGGTAATCAATACTGCGGTACATGAGAAGCAACCCTCTCCCCTTCTTCAAATAGGTTTTGGTTAGCATACCATGAATGAGGATTAACAACTTCCTCTATTTTTCCTCCTTCATTTAAGAATCATTAACTAGCCTAAACTTTGGATCCTTTTCACATGGATCATGTCTAATATTATTACTCCTTTTGTGTGTCATGTCCTGTATGAATGTTCTTGCATGACACACTAAATGTAGGGCAGAGTTAAGTGTCAAGTGATAACCATTCAGAAGACTGACAGTTAACAAACAGTGACCTACCCACCTCACTATGCTATTATCTCGGAGGCTGCAGGACTGGACTTACTTGTAAATATTATCTGAAATGCAATGTGTGATGATAGTAGATAACATTTCACCATATCTGGTTATTCAATAATTCACCTTAAATTTAGATTTTTGTATACTTTTTTCCTGATAATGAGCTTAAAAATAATAACAATGAAAGCGACAATTTTCTTTTAGTGAATGCTCACCATGTGGTAGAGTGGGTGCAGTTCTAGGCATCCTTTTGCCCACCTTAATCTTTACATCAGCCTGGCTATGCATGACACTATTTTGCATGTGAGAAAATGGAGGCAAAAGGCTATTAAGTATCTTGTCCAAGGTCCTGCATTAAGGATCAGAGCTGGGATTTGAACCCAGGAAGCTTAGCTCCAGCATTTATGCCCTCAAGTTCCTTGTTAGCCTTCTTTTCACATTGCTGAACATAGAGGCAGTTTTAGCATCAAATAATACTGCTGAACACCTTAAGTCCTTATTAAACGTAAATATTGCCAGTTTTTGTGTATGTTATGCCATAATGCTTTTGAGAAACTTGGGCAAAGAACAAAACATTGATGATTCTTTTCAGATCTCATTACCTAAGAATTCTGACTACAAGTAAGTGTAAACAGCGAGTAGTTGGTGTTAATTTTGTCAAATGTGTTAGGATGATTACCCATGGTCACGTTCTTGGGCGAGATGTAATTAAACAACACACATAAAAAGAAACCGAAATTCTCTCCTTGTGCCAAAACCAAATTTGATTTCAGATCTATGTGGCCAAATTAAGTGTTTTATTAGATCTGTGCCAAGAACACAGGCTGAGTCTCTGTGGTGATCAGATTTCTAGCGTCCATGCTTTAAAATTTAAATTGAAACATTTTTGTTAAAGTGAAGCAGGCCTTCTCATTCTTTCCAAAGAATTCATTTTCTTTCAGCTTATCCCATGGGGTACAGGCTCCCAATGTCAGCCCTGGAAATGTCAGCTGTTTCCTGCCAGGGAATGGTCATGAGGCTTGGGATCTCTTTAAGCAGCATTGTGTATTGTGACCACACTGGGTCAGTTTGTCCATGTCACCGGGAATGGAGTTCTTGCAGATCTCCTGAGACATATTAACATGCTAGGTCTGCACATTTCTGACAGTTTTCTATTGAATGATTTCTTCAGCTTACTTTAAATTATAGGACCACATAAATTAGCTTATGATCCCAGAAGTCTTCTTGACCCAAGTTTTGAGACAGTTTTCAGTGAACTATAGCTACTCTGACACTTGGGATTTGCTGACAGTTCTTGTTTTGGGAAAGGGTTTGCATTCCTAATGTGGCTGTCTATTATCAGGATTATTTTAACTCTTGTCTGTGGGGTTGATCAAGGACATATGAGCAAGAATTGAACTCAGCTGTGTGAATGACCCTTGGAAATCATAAGCTCCTTAGTGCCAGATGCAATATCTAGCAGATATTAATTGATGGTAATGACAGGAAATGGTCTTCATAGCCAGAATCTGCTAATTTGAGTCCTGAAGTATTAACTATGATGCCTGCTGCAGCAGACTCTGACATATTATATTAACAACTCTAGGCAAAAGAAGATTATAATGTTGATATGTATATTTTTAGTTTCTTCTTGTATGGCATTGTTCTCTTTCAGGTAAAGAAATCAAATGTAAATGGTAAAATAGGCTCAAGTTGACCATACCGCATGCTGAGACTTATTTTTTGTTTTAGGGTGAGTCTCCCCACAGTGTAACTAAATATTTCAGTCCCAAGAAAAATGTCAAATCATAGTAACAATATCTCAGGTTATCACAATTATGATGATTCTAGGAAGAGCAGGCCGACCTGGTCTTTTTGAAAACTGTTATCACGAATGTGTTTTGGGCTGACCACTTTTTACCAAGAGCGGAATAACTTGAAGTTAAGTCAAACAGGGCTTTTGGTGTTTGTGAAGGATCAGGGAATCATGGGTCAGTCATGAACTCAGTTATGCCTACACAGAGAATGGGCGAATGGTGCTGTGAGAGCTTCAGCACCAAGGTTCACTGTGTAGTTGTTGACCATTGTCTGGGCAGTGAAATAGTTTTCTTCAGCATCACAGAAGGTGAGGTTTTCCTATAAAAGCTTCTGAGTAAGGATGCATGTGAAGTGACTTACACGCCTCCATTTAGAATATTCTCAGCCTGGTCTGTTGAAAATGGTTTGAACATGGAAGTTCCAGGGGGTTTTAATGGGATTTGGTTAAGAGAGTGAAAAGGATTCAACGACAATATTATGTTAAGGGATTGTTTTACATTTCAGAGTAAATCTATTTTTGAGCAAAAAGGGCAACAATGCTGACAGCTTGTTTTCTCAAAAGTTTCCATTCTCACATGGTCTCCATAGGCAGCAGCACTGTCAAATAAACAAAGTTTAATTAAATAAAAAATATGTAAAGAGAACAGAAATATTCTTCCATGGCTAATCAAAATTAGACAATTCAAAGAACAAAGCCTGGCAGGAAATTGTCAATGGATTATTTTTTCCGATCTCAGTGTACTCCTGTTTTTCTTCCTGGTGTCAAATCTCAAGTTCATTTCAGTCAATTATCTACAGCAAACAAAATGTGCATAAATGTTTCTTCTCTTACTTGGTATTTATATTTTACCTCTCAATGAAGATTATTTTCCTTCTCAGCTTTCTTCTTTGGGAACTTATAAATCCAAACACACAAGTTGAATATTGTGTAACTTCTATTTTCACTTTGAAAAAGTAATGATTGATTTAGTTATTTAAAGGTCTACTGCAGAGGTTTTTTCATTGCTAATGTTACACCAACTACAAAATAGGTTAAACAATTTGCTGATGGTTTGGAAGGATTTATCACTAGGTGAAGTATGTTAAGGGTGTGGTGTTGGAGGTTGCAACTGAAAAGTGTTTTCCACAGACCCTTTATTAACTACAAATTTAGAAGTATGGTATAGCAAGTAGCTGGCAGAACTAACACGTAAAATGTAATGGGAAAGAAAGAAGATCCTGCAGAAAAATGCACGGGTGCCGGTTGAACTGTGGGCTCCTGTGATCCTGAGGTTCTGTCCCAGCTCTCCCACCCTGGAACATTCTTACGTGGCCTAAGTGTCCATGGCCAGTAGAACTGGGCAGTAATCTATCTTCCCAATTTATCCTCTGAACACAGTGATTTCTCCTAGATAGGAAAAGTGTGCGATTTTGTTTCTCTCTTCTTGCCAGCTTCATTTTTTCTGTTTCTGTGACTGGCTGTGAAGCCTGCCCATCTGGAAAGGTAGCTTTAAAGCTGTTCTGGAAAATGATCTCTTTTGCTTAACAGATGTTAGTTTTGCATTTCTTTCCCTCTACTCACTCTTAATAAGAAATGATCCTGCAAAAACTTAAAACATAGAAAAGAAAATTAAAACAGAAGCCTGTTTATTTGCCCAGGCGACTAATGTGTATCATTTTCACTCAACATTACTCCTACTAAAACTAAAAAGGAAAATGAAATTTACCTCCGGTTTTGCTGCTGGGATTGCCCTTGGATTTCTGGGGAGGCTCAGGTCTTTTCGTGCTGTACCTTAGGGACTGCCAAGCCAGAGGATCGTTGCTGCTTCAGGTTCAGATGTGTTTCTGCCAGATCACCTGTCCTCCCCTCAGATACTGAAGCTGTGATTTTCTCCATTTTTTCCAGGCAGAGTGATTCTAGATAAACAGATTGCTGTGTGGAGTATATCCTCTATGCCGCTCCAGTGCAGCCCTTTCAGCTTTCCAGAGCCAGTTAGACTTGTTATGAGGAGCAAACTGATTGGCTGGATCTGGGCTCAGTTTCATAGATTATAGCCCGGCAGTTGAGAAGCACAAGCCCTATAGTTGCTGTAGTCAGAGGCCTGCCCGTTCCTGCCTTACTGCACATGTAGTTGTAACTGAGTTCTAGCACGGCCTTGGATGTTTGTGTCCTAAATAGCTGACATTGCATCTTCAACTTGTGAGTAACCCTGACTTTTTCTTTTAAAGCTCAGTAAATTAATTGCATACCCTGGGAGGGAGTGATTATAAGGAGAAAACACTGAACCCAGAAGATGGTTCGTTTTCAAGGTGCTGTTGTATGTATCAAGTTTAATGGGATGAATCTTAAAGCTTCTAGGACCTGGCAGAGTTATTCCAGTGTTTTGCCATGGATCACAGTCCAGCTGCATTTTGGAGGAGGCTGTTTCATGCGTTTGCTTGGCCTGTTGGTTTTATGGGGTCAATAAAGTGATAAAGGTCCAAAACAGGCAGGTTAAAACAAGATGTGAGTGGCATAACAGGTGAGGGAGCATTTGAGTCAGGTAGGCTTCAAAGTGTCCCAGCCCAGTGTCCTAAGCTGGGAGAGAGTGAGCAGCAAATGATCAGGAATCTCCCTGGGATGCAGGGATGCAGGTTCACACAGTCAGCACACGGAAGAGGAAGGAACGTGAAATGATGGTGGCAAGATCTTCTGCAGTCTAAAGCTAATTTGAGACACTACACTATGGATAACTGAAAAGGTGTATATGTATGAAAATTGTTCTTCCCTGCTTCTATGTGTGTGGTAGAGAACTGAATGGGAAACCGCAAAGTTGTGAGAAGTCTTATAAGAAGTGCATTGAACCCTAAGGAAAGAAAGTGTGTGGATTGGCATTTGTGGTCAGGGCAGATCAAATTTCCCCAGGAAGCTGTTGTTAGGTTTATGTAATTGCTAGGGCTAACTTCTGTTGCTAACAAGGATTAGAATAAAGTAAGAGATTGAAATGAGAAACTAGAAAACATCAGCATTTTACTGTCTCCTGTTGCTTCTAGTGACAGAATCATTACTGAGTATAAGTTGGTAAATGCAAACAGTTCATGTTTTGCTTTTAAGTCATTGTTGAGTTTTCCTAGCCTGTCATAAAAAATAAAGACTGTTGTGTATGAACTTAGAAATAATTTTTTATCCTCCCAAATAATTTTTATATTTTTCTCAAGACAGTATACAACTAGGACATTTCTTATATTTTTGGGTTTTCATGTTGTGTTTTAGCTAATGTTTTCCTTTTTAGATTGACAGATTCAAAGGTACAGCCTGTGTACATACAAACCTCAAGAACAAATGATTTTAACATTTTTAAAATCATGGATTCCTGTGGCAAATATAAACTTCTAGTAACTATAGTCATTATTTGCCAGTTTCTATAAAAATACATTAATAGACTCAAAGTTTAATCTTGGTTGCACCTATTAAAATGACTAACATGATTTAGCCAGTAGGACAGAAATATTAATTGTATTTTTGCAAAATTTTATTTTTAGATCACATTGGGAATATAAAGTTTTATTGTTAAAAATATTTCTGCTTTCTGAAATATGACTCCTTTCATTTCATACCAGAATATGAAGTTCATAAAAAGAGAGAGATATAATCAGCATGGAGTCCTTTTATGTATCAACGAAATATTTAGAAAATAGTCTTGAAGGAATCTAAGCTTAATGTACTCTTTCAGAAACACGTTTAGTTTCTGAAGAAATGGTATGTAGCAAGTTCCTTTACTGAGACAGAATAGTGAGTTCATTTATTAACTTTCCACAGTTGTAGATGCTAATAGTGATGGTTGACTCAACCTTGGTTACTCACTCCTAATTGCATTAGTGGAAAAAGTAACTCTTCTGTGAAAGAAGTAAGAGCTTACTCTTCAGGTGGTTGTGGTTCCCCAGGTATAAAAAGTGGTGAGACAGAAGCTGCCTTAACCGAGCTGGCTTTTAACTTGACTCTCCTTCTTTCCTTAGGGGCCATATATCTCTCTTAACATAGCTCTTATATTCTTTCCTACATTTTCCTGGCTTCCTTTATTTACAGATCTTACTTGGGTATTCATTGAGATAATCAAATATAAATGGCTTGTGTTTAATTATTGAACATTAATCAGCTGCCTGTAGGATTCAGACGTTATGAGGTCAGACAAGATTCTTGTGGGTCTATAGTAGGGCTTTCTGCATCTTGCATCAGCGCTTCCTGGAGGTCCTTTATCTCTTCTGTTCTCCTGAAGACACTAGGGTCACATGTCTTTCTTTGCAGGGACAAGAAATTAAGAAAAAGAGTCCAGGGGCCTTAAGAGTCCAGAGGACAGTGGGTTGTGAGTTGTTGGAAAAGCAAAACATTGCCAGAACAGTAATAGACGATCTTTCTTCTTTCTGTTCCTCTTTATTTTCCTGTGTCATTTTTGCATGACTGTAAAAGTTCTTTTGTAGATAAGTTTCTGTAACACTATGTATATCTGCCATAGACAGAGGGAAGTGACAAAAGATGTATCAAACAAGCAATGCATTACATCGTGAAATGTTGCTAAGTGTTCATGAATACACACTGGCATTTCAAAACTGCTAACACTACCTACAAATACAGTGACACAAATCTAAATTTAAAAATATATTATTTCTTCAATCACATTTTCCAGTTAAAATTTATTTGTGTAAAATTCGCTCTTCCTTAAGACATATTTCTGATGTTAAATATAGGACTTCTCTGGTTGTTTAATTTTGCCTGAGAATTTATCTGGAGTCAGTGTTTTCTAGAGAGTTGCTCTGCTTCCTTGAGAATGGTTTAAAGAAAACAAACCAAAACAAATGAAGCTACTGTCCCACTTAGCCATGCAAAAACACACCACAGGGGAGTGAAGTGCTTCTGATTTGTGTCATTCCCTCCTCACTGGTGCAGGAGGAGCACTCATCTAATTTTAAGATAACCACAGGTTTCATCTTAATTATATAATGTCAGCAGGTAATATAATGTCATGTGATATTGCTTACCAGCCAAAATTGTGTTCCTCTAATTTCTGATTCTAAGAAGCAGAACATCTTAGTGACTGGTCTTGGCATTAGTGGGATCATCCTTAGGTCAAGGAATATTTCTAAGCCTTAGTTGATATCCATTTTCTGAAAGTGCTGGTAAAAATTCTGGTATTTCAGTGGATTAGTAGATATCAGCATGGCAATAAACATTTGGGGGAAGATTTTAATACGTAATTTCTAATGTGCTGTACAGTATACATGATACATGATCATTACTAGCACTGCTCACTACCTTAGGGTTAGCATCCTTTACTTCTAAATGCATATTCTCTGCAATGAGGAGTATTTTTAGAGCAAAGCAAATCTTCGCTGTTTGGTCTTGAAAAGTTATGAAGGCTTTTGGAGCTTCAGTCTTTACCTGTCTATTATTGAATATTAATGTCAGTAGCTTTACTGTGATGAGTGAATGTGGCATAATGTGCACAAACACATTTGGTTAACTTCTTAGAGCTGTGTAAATGACATTACAACTTTTATAAGTATTGTAATAAAATGCATTTATAATTTGTTAATTTTTAAAATGGAAATACCAGCTAATTTTCTTTTTAAAATTTTTTTTTTATTTAAAGAGAAAAAAACTCAACAAAACAAAACAGTAAAAGGGTAGCAGTAATACAGAATTTCAAAAAAAATAAACAGTAAGAAATCACTAGTTAACAGATTGCATATTGTCATCATACAAATACTTGTTCAAGTGACAAAATTAAAGCATACAAAGTGGATATTCAAACAGTGAAACTGCAAACAGTTGTGTTCAATGATCCAACAAAAACTTAGTAATATGGCTATCTTACACACTTAAATATACATGCAGTTATATCCTTTAGAGCACTTTCTTTTCCTCTTTTTTACAATAAAAATTACACATTTGGGGTTTTATTACTCCCACAGTTCTTATCATTTTTTTTTGAAGAGAATAAAACCAAATGTGACAAAACAAAACAGAGTCAGTCAAAACAAAAGGATGGACATAGTACATGATGTGAAAACAGAATACCAGGTGATCAACAATGGTTACCATTATGCCTCTTGCTACCTTAAAAAGAGTTGCCTATATCATCAGGTATAATAAAATTGAACAAAACAGTACAGAGCAAAACCAATAAAACCTAAACATTGGAGACCTTACAGGACTTCATAAGAAGATAGTAGTCAAACCAGAATGGGCATCGTAGTGAATCTTATTGCCTTCAAAGTAGTTGTCTATACCCTCTAATTTTCTAAGCTGTATGTATTTCCCTCGAATAGGATGGATTTTTCTCTATAGTTAAATTTGTATCATAATTTTCCTACCACTTGGATAAAACACTAAATCAGTAGTTAGATAAGCATTCTTTTGTAACCTATGTTTAGAACTGTTAATGACAAAGTTTTAGAGGACAGTGTTTTCTCAGAGGAAATAGTGAGTTAGAAGACTTGCAATGGCAGATGTTCTTGGATTTTTTTTTACTCCTGTCTTGACACTCAAATATCACAGAATAATCATGTAGGTGTTAGTACAGTGCTTATTTCTGGGTCTTTTTATCCCAGGAATAAAATGAATGGTCAAAATATGTCCTCCCCACACCACCAGTGGTACTAGGGACCGAATTCAGGCCTTTGCACTGAAGGTTCTCTCTATTGTTAAGTGGTCCGGGCTCTACTGGACCCAAAAAATGACTTTCTGAATGATTAAGAACATTCTGTCACGAGCCAGATACAGTGGCACATGCCTCTCATCCCTGCACTGGGAGGCTGAGTCAGGGAGATTGAGAGTTCAAGGCCAGCCTCAGCTACATAGAGAATTCAAGGCCAGGCTAGATTACATAGCAATACCCTGTCTCAAAAAAGAAAAAGAAAAAACAAAAAACAGAAACAGTTCTGTACAGCATTTTTGAAACTGTTATTTTTAGTTCTACTTACTAAGATCATTGT